ATCCAGCTTATGACAACGATGTTCCTACCCTCTTATTTTCTCCTTAATTTTTCTCGCTTGCTTATTATTTTGCCAGGAGGGGCAGCAATGCCGTGCAGCATGTAGATTGGGACGAGTAAACATGGCGATGGCAGACGAAGCAGATTAGCAGATATGGAATTTGTTTCGAATATTAAAGAACTATTTATGAAACAAAATAAGAAGTTATGAATATTCTGATCTTTTAAACATAATTATAATACATGAGTAAGTACAATACCATTTCTAACTTTCTATTTAACAACACTACACCTGTCCTATTGCCCGTGCTTGAATAGATGCATTGTGCTCTGCAATTGTCTCCCACATTTTGCTTTCAATTTTTGGCCTTAAAAAATGACAATATAACTTAATCTAATCCTCTACACGCATGAGCACTAAAGATCGATGGCTAAAGACCTCAGTGGAGACAAATAATTCCCCAATAAAGCGGCTATGTGCCGACAACTGGGCACATAAGCCATAATTATGCCCTAAAGGCTGTGACTGTAGTATTCGACAAACAGTTTGCCGATTGTGGTTTAATATATGCAGGGAAGCGATAAATTAAATATAGCCTAATAACGAAAATTAAGGCTGTTTTCCAGTTTAACCGTATCGAAACGTTCCGTAGCGTTTTATCGTACGTCCATGGTATTATTATAGTTCTGCTCTGTAATCCCGAAGAAAAAAGAACGATGCTACGTTTTATGATACAATGTGCGGTAGTGAAAAACGAGTTTGTTTACCGTTTACATGAAAAACTTACAAAGTTGAAAATCATACAAATGAAATGCAAAATATAATTTTTGAGCACATGTATACTGAGGTGCAAGCTGGACGAAATATATGTTTCCCATTATGTTATCATTTATATTATTAAGCCTAGTTCTCATTCATCGCAAACTGTCACCGACGATCTGCGACGCTTATCGCCGATACTCGCCGAGCGCGAATGCACGAAAGTTCTCATACATCGGTGATCGTCGCAGATGACAGCCAATGTGTTTCGAAATTTCCCACCAAGGCACAAAATTGCCCCATTCAACGTAAATTTCATGATTTCTGTCAAACTTCAGTTGATTATTTCCTTGCTTGTTGAGGAAAAAACAACTTTTACTCATTTCTCATAGATTTTTCAAGCAGATGGCAGTCGGCGATGGTCGCAAGAAACAAACTTTTTTGTTTCCTGCGATGTCATCGCCGATGGTCGGCGACGATTACGGACAATCGGCGATATAATTTTTGATGCGTTCTCATAAATCGCAAGCCGTCGCCGACGTCGCAAAGCTCCCGTCGCCGACTGTTTACGATGAATGAGAACTAGGCTTTAGTAATACGGCAAAAGTAACGACCCGGGCCCGTCAAAAGTTTTAATGCCGATTTCCAGTCAATGAGTCAAGGCTGATTTCCATCAAAGCCAAAGCGTTGTGCGCATGGATATAGATAACATATTGAATTAGTATTTGTTCTTGCACCTACTCTCTCGCGCACAGCACGCGAGAGTTCAAGGACCCTAAAGTTGCATTTTTTGCACCTTTTCCTGGTTAGGTCTAATAAATGTATATAAATTTCCACTCGACAATTTCCATCTACAAGACCCTTCAAATATTATTCAGTCGAGTGAGTTGCCGACAAAATCTTGATATTTACCCAAATCAAAATTCTACACATCCTTACCTTGCGTTTTATCCACATTGGAAAAAAATTCTTGTACGTTTTTTCCACACTCGTAGCAAAATTTGTGTTGATTACGAACAAGTTCAATGTTACAATCCGGACATAAATACACTCCATTGTTGTCTGGAAACAGAAGCAGAACCAAAATTAATAATCAACGAATTAAAATAAACAACAGCTTGCGTTCAAGAAGCACTTAAGGTGGCAACACCAATATTCTAACTTGTCCAAATATGCAAATTAAATAAAATAATAAAAAATAGGTACGCAGTGCGTACATGTTGCATGCCATCTGAAACCTATGAAGCGCTAGAGCGCTTATATAAACCTTTGGTACAACTGGCGTGAAACTTAAAATATTGATTCAATAAGTTTAAAATATCAATATATTTATTGAAAAATAGCTATTATGTCAAAATAAGAAAACGCGAATTAGCCTACGGTGTAGACCTCAGCAGAAACACGCGAATAGGTAATGTTTTTATAAGCGACCGTCAATAGTTAGTTGCAAGCGACGGTAATAATAACAACAAGGACAAGTTTTGGTCAAGGTTTTATCAAATTCATAACTAAATAACGTTATTTCCTTTAGATTTAGCTTTCTAAAGGTATAAAAAACCCGTGGAAACGGTGAATTACTATAATAGATTGAAAATGATTATTATTTATCATTTTGACGTTTGAGTGATTGAAATGAGTTAATTTACACTATATCGAATGTCATATTAAATTTCAATAGTATGTATATAAAATACTATTTATAATTCAAAATTTGTTTGATATTTATATATCATGTTCTTCACAAAATGTGCTGTAGTTTTGAAGCTTTGCACACAATATAATCAGTGCGAGCACAATGGCTCCGTTTCAGTTTGAGTATATATATAAAAATCGAGTATTTTGATAGCGTTCGCGGCTTTGTACCCCGGTGGCCAGATGAGTGGCTTTGAGGCTTTCACGATATATAAATAAAAACGCCTGATAATTGATAAATAATCAGTGCGAGCACAACTGCTCCAAAATCACAGCAAATAACAGAATTAGTCTAGGACCTGTATATGAGTTTGTATGCGTTTCATTTACCACAGGTAATCTCAACTGTTTTAGGGTAAAATGACCATGGCGGTCAACATGGCATATGTGCCAAAACCTGAATCCGGGACGAAAGTCCTGAAAATGACCCCGCCCTGAAACGGCAGTGCCGACATAGCTCTAACTTCTGAAAAGCAAAAGCGACAGCCTTTCTGAAGTGCTTATAGTGTTTAGAAGGGTTGCTTTTAGGGGTGCTCATTGGAAGGAAAAATTTGTCTAAGTATTATATTTTACCAGAAAATGACCATGCACCACCCCAGGTAAATTGCTAATTATGCATAAAATAACTAATATGCATGGTAGAAATTAAATATCCTTATTTCCTAAAAAAATTATCATGGGATGAAAAACTATGCTTAATTTAATATAACTATTGTAGTTTTCATATGGATAGTCATTGTTTTAAAAAATATTATATATTTTATTTCACTTACCCCCCACGAAAACACGACTTCAGCCATATTTTGCCGACTTGTTTGCTTTATATCGCCGTGTCTCGCAAATAACATCCAGTTGTTGTACTTTTACATAATCATAAATGGCTAAAGAATATTTCAACCAAGTTTCATCAAGTTGTGAGACAGTGCAGTGTATTTTATCTTCGATATTGTGTCCTTCGATACTTCGTCAAATTGCCGCCATTTTAATGGCTCGCCGCTTCTCTGCCCGATAAATGCCACTTCTTCGTTTTCATATGTATTTAGATTACAATATCCAAGAGTACTTCATTGTAGAATAGTCCCAATCGAAAAATTGAAAACATTAGATGCATTTGGAAGGAAAAAACCTCCCGTAAACCATTTAGGTTCAAAATAAAAAACAAATAATTTGAAAGTCACGCGCAATCTTCGCGAAAACTTCTCGTGGACACATGACAGGGGGATCAATATTTTCACGAAACGTTTGTTCGCCACCACAGAAACATAACTAAATATATTGTATTTATTGTTTTTTTTATGATTGATGATAAAAACAATAAATATTTGCGCAGTTTTGTCATAAATCATAAAAATACAATAAATACAATATATTTAGTTATGTTTCTGTGGTGGTG